TCACTTGACATACGCCGTTGTCGTACAGCTGTTGAATGACGTTGATGAATATTTGGGGTACGCCATAGTACTCGAGTAATTTCCAAATTACTTCACGATCAACGCTGTCGAAGCCTTCTCAGAGTCTGTAAAGTTGAGGTAGAGGTTTGATTGCCATTCCATGCTTTGTTCTGTGATGATGATGCGTAGAGTTGCAATTTGGTCAGTACATGATTTGCCTTTCCTGAATCCAGCTTGTTCTGGTCGGAGTTCTGTCTCCAGTGCGTCCTTTAATCTCTCCAGGATGATGCGACTCAGGATTTTACTTGGTGTCTACAGGAGCATGATTCCTCGCCAGTTCTTGCAGAGTGAGGCCTGAGTCGCGCTTCTTTGGTAGTTTCACGAGGTAACCTTTCCTCCAGTCAGTAAGCACCTTTCCCTCCTTCCACACCTTTTGGAATAATAGAGTTAGCATATCTGCTGTCGTCTCTGGGTCTGCTTTCAGTGCTTCAGGGGGTACCCCATCCGGTCCGGCTGCTTTTCCAGCTTTCAGAACCTTGATTGCGTTCAAGACTTCAGCTCTTGTTGGAGGATTGGTGTCAACTTGCAGTTGTGTACGTGCTGTTGTTGGTATTTCTGGACGGGTTTCAGGTGGTGGTCGGTTCAAGAGTCCTTTGAAGTGATCCGCCCATTGTTTAATCTGTCTTTCTTCCTTGGTGATTGGCTTCCCTTGGCTGTCTTCTATAGGTTTCACTTGTGTTGATCTCTTCCCGGGTAGAGATTTGGTTATCTGATATAATGTCCTCAGGTCCCTTTTGCTTGCTGCCTTCTCAGCTTCAGTGGCCAGGTTGTCGTAGGATTGTCTTTTGCCCTTCCTAGCACTCTTCTTCACTTCTTTGTCCAGTGCTATGTCATATATATCTCTAGTCATTATAATATTGTGGTGTAAGTCTGAATTAATTCAACCACAGGAAAAAAGTAACAATATTCTACAAAGAATCTTACTTACCAGTGATCATGTATACGTTTGTAATAGGCATTAAGGTACATAATATATGACGGCTGTTTAGACTGTTTGACTTTTCAACCAATAAAAAGTGGAGTGATATCTGTATCCCTATCTCTCTGTTTGGTGAGATGCAGCTTCGCATAAATCACTATAAAGACATTTGAAGTTAATCTGAAATCAAGTACAGAAAACTGAAGGTGACAAATGAAGATTTCCTTACCAATATCATAATTTTTTACCATGACACAGTCCTTGAATATACAACTGCTTCGTTCCTCAAGTAAATTTTGTTTACAAACCTTAGAATCATGATCTTTACATATAGTGATTAAAAGAAATGAAGTCAGTAAGTTATTTTATTTCCCGTGTACACACCTTAGATTTCTGAAATGAGAATGCTTCGGTGAAAGCTTTTAGATAACATTTTATCGTCTGAGAATTGAAACTAATTAAGAGCTAGTTTCAATCATAAAAGATAAGTGGATACTGTATGCGGATGAAGATTCCCCTTAATGTATGTTATCTAAATGTAATTCTAGAGAAGACCACTCACTCATTGATATTTTTAAAGTTTAATCACTTCCCTCCATTTCGCTATACTCGCCACCGTCATCACGCAATCATAAAGCTGAAGTCATTGCCCACTAGTGCTATTTAGACTGTAGTCACTGAACAGTGGACAACTTCCAAGAGTCATGTCTTTACGCATCTTGAAAACACAATGTCAAACAGTTTCCCTAAATCCATTGTAATAAAAGTTTTTCGTATTTACCAATGAATGAGAAAAAAAAATTTTGTTTCTGGATTTCATCATGAGCTGACATTAGTTAGAGAACCATTGGAAAACCTGGGAGTACTGGACAGCTGTTTCGTCCTAGTTTGGGGCTCTTCAGCAGTACGCACCCACCGGGATTCGAACCCAGGACCTTCCGGTTACAAGGCGAGCTCGTATACCATTAAGCCACTGGGACCCGATCCAATGGTCCTTGAATTCTAACTTCTGCCAATTCACGACATAGCGCAACCGCTAGCCAATGTCTTCGGCGAGTATTTGTCCTCACACCCGACCGGCTGCACCCTACTGGTCACGACTTCCCACTGGAACCCAGGTAACTACCTACCTGAATAGGGCCAGTCGCCAGTGAGCATCTCATTGGTATTCAAGTGATGGTTTGTAGGGATTTGATTGGTTTCAGGATTTCATCATGAGCTGACATTAGTTAGAGAACCATTGGAAAACCTGGGAGTACTGGACAGCTGTTTCGTTTTAGTTTGGGACTCTTCAGCCAATTCACGACATAATGTTAGCTCATGATGAAATCCTGAAACCAATCAAATCCCTACAAACCATCACTTGGATATTGTTTTTACTGACATTTCACCATTTAGTGCTAATTTATTATAATGAATATCATATACCCAATGCCTAATTTTTTTTCAGACTGTTAAGTGATATTGGTTTGGACATATATAGTTTCCCTAAATATTGATGAAAACATTCAGGTTATTTACTCATGGGACATTCTGCGGTGGGGTGGGGGGGACTAAGCCTATATATAATACACCGCTAAGGAATAAACTAATGCACACTGAATAACAGTCTACTTTTATTATTTTTCACCAATATCACTCCGTTGAATTCAAATGAAATAAATGGTCAGTTGACATTACTTCCCTCCAATTAGACAAATGAAGACACTACAATTCACCAGTTCAAACAGTCACGCGTAGTTCCGTTATGCAGAAAAAGTCAAATATTAAAGATAGCTAAGTAGAAAAATGAGATAAATCAACCTCCGCACTTCATCAAACTATTTTCAAGTGACAATGTATGTTAATGAAGCTATCGTAGAGTGGTAGTAAACAAGGCGTAATCTGGAACACAATATCAGAACGAGAACACTGCAGAGCGAAATTATTAGACACAATGGTACAAAACAATATACTAAATGATGTTTCAGTTACAATCTCCAAGACTCCATTTCATGTTCTTGTTGCTTGCTAAACTTGTATATCACTAAGGTAACTCTTCACTATACCTACAGTGTTGAATACATAATAAGTCCTGCTACAGTTAACGCGCATAAAACTATATATGATACTCAAAAAGACGGAAATATATTCACTACTTAGGTCCAAAGAAAACGATCAGTTGACGTTTGTTAAAGCTATCCAACTGTTTCTTAAGAAATTTCACACACGAATTCGTCTTAATGAATCTGAACAAAGCAATAACAAGAGATGGAGCAAGATAAAGTGGATCAAAAATAACAAGTATATGTCTAGAGATATAATTATTAAAAAAAATACAAACTTTCATCCATTAAAACTCTTAGGGTGTCCCAAGAGAACAGCGAACTACAACTTAACTCGAACACAAGTAGAATCATCAATTTAGGGAACAAACGTGGTAAAACATGGGCAGCAAAAGATAATAAAATAGAAAGAGTAACAAACAGTCGAGGAACTACAGGATGGAAAAATGCAAGCATAACTGTCAAGTCTCCAAATGAAAACCAAAACAATTGCAGCCCATTCACCACTGGTTCCAACCATCAGCGACATTTTACCGTAGCTCAAGCACATTAGTTGCAAGTTCTCTTTGGCTAACTATACTAACACAATTAAAGTCGAGGGGATGACAACCGCAATACACGTCGAATCCTCTGAAGGTTGTGTCGCAATATGGACTCGATTACTGATAGACGATTGCTATCATTCGCATAGTTCGTCGGACTTCAGGTTTACTTAAACGGTAACTCAAACGAATGGCGTATTTTCTAACGTCCAAAGGGCCAGGTTTCAGAGACATAAAACAACAGTGAGACGACTAAAGCTTTGTAAACCCGAACTTTGACAACTAGACTGCCCAGGTAGATCTGTGTCACCCTGGCTTTCTCTAAACCGTTGGGAACTCAATCCGTCACAACCAGATATATGGACTTTCCAATAACCCCTAGTAGTTAAACTATGAAGCTGAGTGAAGTAACGGGTTCCAGGCATACTTATAATATTACTTACACTTGGACATACCACAGTGCATACCGTATTTACAAAAACTGACTGGTTTGTGTAGCCGGTACACTATTGCACAGCAAGACTGTCCTCTGCAGTACGAAAGACTGGAGTTATCAGATTGCGCCACTGTGTAACTAAACCGCTGGTTGAGGATAGTGCTGATTGTATTTTCTACCTTCAGATACTATTTGTTTAGGGGTACAGTGTTATTGATAAACTGCTCAGAGACACCTTATTCAGACAGACAATTCTAGGAGATAGTCATGTCCAACAACCAAGTGCAACTGTTATACCAAGAAATATAACTGATGGCCTTCAATGATGTTTAAACGAATCACTACGGTTAAACGTCTGGTCGAAGTGTCCACGGCCTTCAAGAAACCTACCATGCTCCTCGGGAATTGATTCTCCAAAGCCTGTGGAGCACAACAGCAACTAGTGTCGTACGTAACAGACTACACCACAATTACCGCACGAGCTATTTTGAGATAGGCGCATGTTACACACTGGTGAGACAACTTAACTTCTCGAGAAAATTCTGACTAGTATCACGTCTTTGGAAAGAGCAGGAAGTTGAATTAGGTGGGTGTTAAATGGTGTCTGAGTACTTGAATCTCCCTTCAGACTGCTCAATTGCGAGATGGGATGGATACTCGTAGGAATCAAGATTCTAGTAAGATGAGAGAGTTGAAAGTTATAGTCTTTTACTGATTAGTAAAATCCAACTTTTTTCGCAGATGTATCACAGCAGAGACCCTTAACTAGAAAATGGGGCAGCATCCCTCAAATTAAAACCATATGAGTATTCGCTTTTTATTCATATAAAACTTCGATAATCCCTACTCAAAGTATGAGGTTATTTGCTAAATTCTTTCTTGAAACGCAGTCCGCGTCAGAATACTCGGTGCAGTCGGCACTGAAGGAATATTTTCACAAAATTAATAATAATTTAACAGACAAACCGAATGTTGAGGGAAAACCCGGTAGTCGTTCCATTCATGGTCCTAATTTATTCTCCCACCTTACACAAAAACGAAATGAAGCAAACAAGACTTAAACGAGAGATCACTTCATAACCCGAAAAGACTCAAAACTTAGCATCAGTCAGCAGGAGAACATCATTTTAGCTGGGATTAACAACATAAGGAACAGTCTACCTTGCAACACAGAATAGAGATATCAAAAACACATGGTATAAAAGAAAACATTGTATGATAAACCAACAGGCAGAGAATACAAGCGAAAATTTGTGCTTCAAAATAGACCATTACATGATCTTTTATAAACAAAATGACAACAAAATTGACAAGTCATTCAATATGTGAAAATGGAATCATTATTGCTAAAACATGACATAATATTCTGAAGTTTCAAGAAAGACAAAAAACAGTTTAATGCAAAAATGAGACATCGACATATTTAAAAAAGATTGGACTCTGAGATTTTGGTACATAATTAACATCAAGATCAATGAAATATTTGGCAATTAATTCAGAAAAACGGAATGGATAAGGAAATTATTCACTTATGAAGACCCCCATTAGGGAGCCAAAATATAAGAGAAAACGGCGAAACAAATGCATGACCGATAAATATGTGTTGAAACCTATGAAAACGGCCTGAGCCTAAATAATGAGCAATCCAATATCAAAGGTAAAAGTTAGGAAAACAGCTAATTGTCATGTCAAGAAATGAATGAAAGGCACGTGTGTAATCACTTGAAAAAACCAACTATAATGTCGGATTTAAGCACGTGATTGACTCACTGAAAATAAATCAAACTTAGTACACTAGACTAAGCAAACTAGACTATAAATAAGTGATGCAATAAGAAAAAAACAAAAAACAATAATCCGTAATCTCAAAAATATTGCAAAAATACCGTGAAAACGATTCAGATAAAATGCTATCTAATGTTTCTAAGCCATTGAAAAATTTCAATAAAATGTGGTTTTTCGATGTCTTTTGAAACTGTCTCCGGACTCAATAAATGAAATATTAGTAATGATAATAATAATAATAAATAATAATAGTAAATAATAATAGCAATAATAATAATACAATAACAATCAATATAAATATGGGAAAAGGCAGAACTCGCTTGAAATCAGAGTTCCCAAAATTAATAAGAAAAAGTGAATATGAATAAACAGAAAAACATACTGTAATAAAGTTGAAAAATTATCACGAACACCCCGGAATAACCACGGGGGAAGAATGACTCTTGACTGAAGCACGAAAGAGTTAGAAACTGTCCAAAACGGACAATCATAAATACTCCTTGAAACTATATATCATGATGAGGTTGAGTGAAATCCAATGGTGCTATTATAGAATGGAAGAACAATATCTTGGGAAGTATATTAGTTGTCCTATGGATATCAACCGGTCGGCAGTCGGTATTAACATATGTATAAAGTCTGCATGACCAGGACATTATTAGAACTCCGAGCAAGTGTTACAACGTAACCCTCAGTTGTTATTTTTAAGCAGCAGGAGCGACTGACTTTTGTTTGGTTGCAGACGAATTCACTGAGTAGCTCACCTGTTCGGCTAAACACAGCAATATGAAACCGGTTCCCATGTGAGTCTCCAACAAGCACGTCACCATGATCACTAACATCAATTCCATTTGGGAAATCCGTAATTGATTCGCCACCTATACGACGGATGAAAGTTCCATCCTCTTGGAAAACAATAACGCAATGTGCCTAACAAGCTTGTAAACGCAATGAGGACATTACCTTAAAATCACAAATGTAATACTCCCGACCATGTATTGCAACATCAGATGGTTCTCTCATGTGATTGCTGCAGTCAAACCAACGGACGAGATGTCCCTCTTCTGATACAACAAAAACCGACGGTGAAACACTATCAATAGCAACAATATGACCTGAAAAGTATTAGCAAATAGAAACAAAGTACCATGTTGGTTAATCGCTAATCCTGCAACAATATCTATGTAACGAATTGGAATACGTCGTACGAAATGTCCACTTCGACTGAACAGCTGCATACGGGAACGTTCATTTCCCCTATCACAGACAACATATCTTTGACTCTGTCTTATTATTGCAACTTTGCGTGGATACCACATTAAACCATCCACCCTTCCTGATACACCAAAAAACGATACGAATTCCCCGTGCTTCGAAAATATCTATGCAAAAATAATTAGTAAAAGATTAGCTCACCTGAATGCGATGATTGTATGTGTCAGCAACTACTATCTCTTCATCAAAGCCCAAACAAAACCCATGCGGAGAATTCAAGCGCCCCAATTCACAACCAAGAGAGCCCCACTTTGCTCTAATATTCATTTGTGTACAACGGGCTGACCTTATACGACTATACTCATACAGCGTTGCACTGTAATTGGCTGGGAGCTTCTGCTTCAACATAAGACTGGGGTCAACATCCAGTGGCGGCATGATACTGTTTCCAGGTCTTAAATTGTCACTTGTAATAAAAGGCGTGCCAAAAACTGAATCAACTTGTGTTACGTTAGATAGAAATTCAGGTGGTTCCATGTTAGGAAGTGTAACACTTAAGTCACACCAATCGCTGGAAGGACGACTTGAATTGTTAGATCTAACAGTGTAGTTGTTTAGACTACCATTTGCAACACAAGTTGGATTTGCATTGTCACGGACGTCTGGATGTACCGGACTACCTGGGGCCAACTGTGCAGACACTCCTTGGTCCATGCATACAAGAGAGTCTGTGTCGATAAGTCCGTCAGATTTGATTGTTAATTGATTGAGATCATTTGCGACATCTTCCACGCCACTTAAGGCTGAAATGTGAGAGTTGGGTGTCGGGAATGCTTGTAGTAGTGTATCTGTGATTTGTTGCACGCTTGACTCCAATGAATCAGTGAATCCGAAAGAACCGAACTGCTGACGAACAACATCATAAACACTTGCAGTACCTGGTGTAAATAGGAATTTCGCTGAGAAATCACTGATGGCTTGCTGTTTTGACAGCTTGTCAAAACATGCAAGAACATTCTTAAAAAGTTTGCATACTTCAATGTTCGAACACTTCCTGAGGTAGGTCTTAACGAATTCGCATGCAAAGTCGACATGATCAATAGTTTTGTTCATGTTATTAATTTGCGACCATACTTTCATTTCTATTTCATCATGGATCTCTCTATTTTTATGAATGAAATTCTCCTAAAAAGATATATATAATTTGTCGACACCTTACCTTCACCTTCTCAATTGCTGCTATCCACTGTTTACAGGTTTCCAATATAACAGTTTTATTGGTATCTCGAGATGCACTTAGCTCTGATAGTAAGCTATGCATCACATCAACTGAATCGCGAAAGTCCTTTTGTTTTAAACGACAAATATCAATCATATCCGACAACAAAGAGTCAATGTGTGTAGGCACTAACTCCAACAGAATTGTTATATGTCCTTTGTGTTCATAATCAAAACACGCCTCACATAAAGGGATCTTTAGTCATATGACATCCAAATGTAACAACTTACATGGCACTGTAAACAGAACGAAGTCAATATGCATTCCGGGTGAATTGTGCACATAACTGGTTTATTGTTCAGCATGTTACGCTGCAACACATTAGAATTTAACTTCTCCTCTTCAGTTAAGTCCAATATTTCATGGTTTGAGAAAACCTTCATAACCTAGAATTTTAGAAATTATCACCTCAACATACCTTGTGAATATCACGACACCGTTCACATAAAGTACCTGCGCAATGCATGCATCGGTAGAGAGCTTCGTTGCCATCTGTACACACTGAGCACTTAACTCCTTTCCCGCTTAACTGTTGTGTATTGTCACCATCACGTGTTTGGACAATGGTCGTATCATAGGCTTCAAGTGTCTCTACACTACTAGATAATGTCTCGCACCTCGGACACTTAGTAAAAGGAACGACATTATCGCTTTGCTCAAACTTATGCAAGCAATCACGGTCATATATGTGAAGACAACTCAAAATAACCGGGTTTGAGAAGGGCTTCTCACAAATACCGCAGAGCGTAGGCAGCCCTCCCGCCTCCTCGAGAGTTGAAATTTTGTTAAGTTCATCTGAAAAAATATTATCCAAACCATCAGGCGATTCACATGACTCCTCCAACATATCGAGAAATAATAATAGGCGGCAAGCTAGTCAGGAGCTCTAAATGTTCATCTACGCGTTCAAACAACGATGGACAGAAAATATATTAGCAGTATAAAATATATAGCTTAGCCTTCTTTAGACATTTTCTTCTTCACTTGATTGTTTGGCTTCATGTACTCCTCACCATATGGCTGAAATCATCAGTAGGATGTAAAACCATCGAAAAAGATTCAATTTGTGTCTTTGTGGTTTAGCATTGCAGGTGGAGTAGTATTTATGAATCTTCACTGTTTCTTCCTCAGAAAACTTTCTAGAAGTACTGTCAACACGAATTCCGACAACAAATTTCGGAAGTTCACAACCCTGTGGAGAAATCCGTTTTAAGTATTGATCATTCTAGTATCGCGTCCTCACATTTTATCAGTTGTTGAATTTCTTGCGGATTAGTAAACAATGTAGCTGTTTCTGGTGTCGTTATATGAGGCGCATTACTACGGAATAACACTATTATCTTTCCTACGATAAAATGCGGGACATTTTGAAATTTCCGAAAATCTCATCCTGACAAGAACCAATTATCTACTCCTCTTACTAGTTCCAGAGTGTTTGCGTCTTCTTAAATACAGAGATAGAGTGTTTATATGTAACATTATAAGCACACTCACAACACATAGCATCCTGAAAATGTTTTTATCAACGTACTCAGGGGCCCTTTAGAATGACGTCGAAATCCTAAATGCTTTAACTGCAACCGGGTAGCAGAGAGCTTCAAACTATGTATGTCAACCATTCCTAGAATTCATAATCTCCTAATCGAAGGTGGTCTTGGTCCACTCGCTTACGTGAGGGCTGACGACCGATGGACATTGCACAACTGCTTTTTATACCTCAGCAACTTAGGAATTCGGTCGATCGTTTGTCTCAGGCACTAACCTATCTGTTTTGGAATAAAGCAAATTATGATCATTATTCATCTCAAATATTAGATCTCTGAAACCTGACACCGTCCGCAAATGGTGGATATGAAATACATACCCCATTCATACATTCAAAGACGAGTGAACGGCATAAGGGAAACCAGTATAACTAACAAAATTTCTTGTGTCATCCATAGGAAGAACTTAATTAAAACGAAAATCCACATAATTAGTCAGTGAAACGACATACAATGTCGAGAGAAAATCCATTTCATAGATCGAATTCGATATCATCTCAGTGGTAATTATGTTCAAGTAGAGATCGGAAAAAGCTGGTAAAATATAGACACCTTCAGAACACGCAAGAAGTAAAAGGAGGAAAAGACCAGCGAAAAATAAGCAGATTGACATTGGGGAACAAAAGATGAAATAGATAATTATTAGCCATTAGGATTATTACGAAATCCGCGTAGAAAACAGGACCACAGAAAAACATACCAGCATTCCGAACATTCATTCAGACGTCGAGGGCAGAAGATTTTCAAACGGACTTCAGTCGGTGAAGTCGTATCTTACCTTTCTAATTCTGACCCACTTTGACATTCTCATCTGTTCCACCCGTACTTGAAATGATACCTTCTTGAAAAGTGAGGAAAGTAACCTCCGTCAAATCTCCCCCGTTAATGCTGATTGGTGGTGGTTGTTGATGCTGCTGTTGGTTGGTTATCCTCACCACCTCCATCTTCTCTATGTTCACCTGCATTGCTGTCTTCGCTCCCAGCCTCTTCAGCTAGCTTGTTGGTTTTCGCCCGTAAGTCCTCGAGTTTACGCGACATGTCAGCTGAGAAATCCAGATCTTGTAGGGTCTTGCAATCGGTGGTCCGGCGTACTCCTCTCTCCTCTTTCCCCACAGTTTGACGCATAATACAGTCCACTACACCTCGGAATATCATTGGTGATAATAGACAGCTCTGTCTTACTTCTGTATTCACTTATGATACCTCGCTGAGTGTCCCGTTGTGGATCACCTGTCGTGTGGCATTGTCATATAGCTGTTGAATGAGGTTAATGAAGAATTGAAGTACGCCTTAGTGTTCATGCAATTTCCAAATTACTTCTCGGTCAAGGCCTTCGAAGGCCCCTTCAAAGTCAGTGAAGATGGGATAGAGGTTTAACTGCCATTCTACACTTTGTTCGATGACGGTGCGTAGAGTTGCAATTCGATCAGCCCATGACTTGCCTTTACTGAAACCAGCTTGTTCTGGGCTGGCAGAGTTCTGTATCCAGTGCATCCTTTACTTTCTCCAGGATGATGAGACTTAGTATTTTACTTGGTGTGGACAAGAGCGTGATTCCACGCCAGTTCTTGCACGAGCCTAGATCACCCTTCTTTAGCAGCTTGACAAGGTAGTCTTTCTTCCAATCGGTAGGTACCTTTCCTTCCTTCCAAATCTTTTGCAACAACTGGCGTGAGAACATACGCCGCAGTGTCTGGATCCATCCTCAGTGCTTCGCAGTAGGGGAATTCCACCCAGTTCTGCTGCCTTTCCGGACTTCAGTAGCTTGACCGCATTCAGATTCCTGCTTTTGTCGGAGGATTGATGTCCACTGGCAGGCAGTACTGCATGTGCCATTGGTGGTATCACTGGGCGAGTTGTAGGTGATAGTCGATTCAAGAGTCCTTAAAGTGATCAGCCCATTGATTGATTTATTTCTCCTCCTTGGTAATCTGGTTTTCTTGAGCATCTTTTGTTGGTTTCATCATCTGGGTTGATCTCTTTCCAGATAGGGACCTGGTTATTTGACGCAATGTCTTCAGATCTCTTTCACCTGCGGCTTGTTCTGCTTCAGTTGCCAGTGTATCGTAGAATTGTCTTTTGTCTTTCCTAGCACTCTTCTTTACTGCTTTATTAAGTGCAGTGTACATTCAACTCAGCTTCTCCTCTTGTTGCCCACCTCTGCATTCAGTCAACTTCTCTTTCACCACCACCCCTCCTCAATCAGCTTGCCGGTAGATGTCCGTCGAGAGCCATTCCTGGTCTTGTCTCTTCTTTCTTCCTAGAACAGCTGTACACGTTTACTTGAACATCATCTTCGGAGTTTCAATGTTTTCCACGCAGGCTTCCTCACTGGTAACACGTAGTTCCTCCGACTTTGCTCCCATCTGATCTGTAGTGAGGCTTTCCCTTGTGGTTTTGTCCACCAGTTTCTGAAATTTGAGCTTGAATTACAATGACCTGTCTCCAGTTCTCTTAGAGGATTCAGCTTTACCTTGAAGGTAGGTTCCTTGAACTAGGTGATGGTCTGAGCCCACATCTTCTCCTCCCTTCGACTTTGTGTCCACCACACCAGCTGCGTCTCCACTTCTTTGTGCAGCACTGAAACCAAATCTGCCCGGTTCGTGGTGTGTCCGTCAGACGAAATCCATGCTGCTCTGTGTACATCCTTGTGTTGGCACACGCTGCCTCCGATCACCGAATCATTGAAAGCGCAGAAGTCTGAGAATACTTCTCCGTTCTCATTCATTTCTCCGAACGATAGCCTCTCGACCCATGATGAGTTCTCTCCCTGAATTATCTGGTCCCAGTTTGGCGTTCACATCGCCGATGAGGATTTCGATGTCACCATTTGGGACGTTGTCCATTACTGTTTGTGATCGTCTATAAATATTCTTCATCTTGTCTCGTTCCGCATTGTTTGTAGGTGAGCAGAATTGGATAATTGTGACCCTCCTTCCCTATGAGTTGAATCTCGTTGTCATGATCCCCAATGAAATTGGTTCCCTTATAGACAAGATTTTATTTTGATAAGTCAAGTGTTACACAGTAATATTGGCTGATGACGTTTCGAGCACAAATTATTGCTCATAATCATGTCAAGCAAATCACACACCTTATTCCTTCATTTATATACATGTGTGGAATTGACCGGATATTTGAATAAAACGTTTCATGCTTGTATCGAAGTTGGTTCCTGTCGCCTTCAGAAACTGTCCGCCAACTCTCAGTAATTGTCAATGTCCAGCTCTTACTATGCTGGACCTCAGGGTGTCCATTGAAGACTTTCAGAAACACTTTGTATTAAGCAACTCGAAAACCAGAACACTGATTGGCGACTCAAGAATCCTTTATTCTTACGCCAACATGTCACCAGCAATAAGGTTATTACACAAGGTCTAAGAATAAGTGTTATAACAATAAATAACGACAAAACTTCTGACAGTATTTTCAATTTGCCCGAGCAGCGAACGATGAGGCGATGACTGCCGTATTGAAGACTCCCGCAAAAAATATGGAGGAGTTGGGCTTGAGCAAACAACCATGAATTGATCGTTCAATCTTCAACTACATTGACGCGGTGCGAAGAGATAAAAACTATGTAATTCCTTCGACTTCAACCCCAAAACATCAATATTGTAAGAAGGAAGGTATATTGTTTGGCAATTAAATTGGAGAACAGTGCTAGTCTACAAAAAAATGTTTCATAAAAATTTATTTCGTACTTTTATTCGTTTTAGTACGTCTTCGTCGAAATTGTACACGATTGAAGCATTTGCTCCTAAGAGTTGCCCACCAGTGGCTATTATTTCAGATACAAACGGTCAATTTCCACTTCCACTGACAACTTCGACATATCTAGGGCATTTGACATAGTATTTCATAGTATTCTCTTTGAGAAGCTGTACCCAAACGGAATTCGCAATCCATTACTGAACTGGTTAAAATCACTTCTAAGCAACAGGGTACAAATAACTGAATTCGGGTCAGTATTGCCTTATTCCAGGCGGGTCATATGTGGTTTTGTGCAAGGCAGTCTCCATGCACACTTCTATTTACAGTCTACATCAACAGCGTCTGTAACAGCCTCACATCAGATAAATCATTACAATATGCTGACTGAATCAGAGTAGTTTACTCTCGCTACAGTCATGAATTAAACGAAATGGCGAGCGAAAAATTTCAACTGAGTGGTTTCCAGACAATGTGCACTCAATCTTATTTGAAGTTTACGACTGGTAAGTCAGCGAACGACACCTACCTCCGAGACGACAATCACGAACACACTGAGGCGGTGAATGCCTATAATATTATTGCCGACGGCAGCCAGAGCCCGAATGCGACGGGAACCAACTTCGATACAAGCATGAAAC